GAGGAAAAACTATTGAGAAAGGAAGCATATTGATAGATATATATAGTTTTTTACACAGAGAAAAAATAGTACAACTTCTTAAATCAAATCTTATATTAGTAGGATTGTTAAATTAATATCCAAAATTTAGGAAGATTCAGTTCCTAATATTAAGATAAAAGATTGATGGATTTTCTATACCCTCGAGCTGATGAATATGTATCCTTTGTTCCCAGCTTGGATTTAAATCATTGGAATGTTGCACTACTGACTCCCACTACTGAGTCCTTTTGATTGTACATCTGTGCCTTGACCATTAATTAAGATGTATGGAGTACAAATCAATCAAACTGTCCAGCTTTTCCTTTATGGAGTGTATTTACTTCACAGTGCTTCTTTTGTCATGTTATAAGGATTTTAAGCAATGTTAATGGTAAACTTGTTGCAATAAGCGTATAGGCCCTTTCCGTATGATATTTAGATCTTCCAAAATTATCTTGAACCATAGTAGTTCACATATTCTCTTTGTTAGTGGCTTGACCTCTGCCTTTTCACTTGATCTAGCAATCATATTTTGCTTCTTGTTTCTCCATGTCACAAGATTACCTCTAAGAAAAGTACAATAACTCCTAATAAGTCGCCGATAATTTTGTATATGGGTTTTGCACCCCTTGGGTGTTTTTAGGTATACCTTACTTTTTCTTTTCAAGAAAAGCCGTCTGTTGTAGTAAACTAGCTATCAACTGGTAGCCTACATAATCTGCATCAATAGATGCCTCAATGATGAAGAGACTGAACCTCTATTGGTCCTTGCATAAATTGGCTAGCTACACTCAGGATATATGCAATGTCTGGTGTTATATGAGCAAGATATATAAGTTTTCCTACGAGTCTTTGGTATATTTCTCTATCTATAGCTAGGTCTTCACTTCCTTTTCCTAGTTTTTAATTTTGGTCAGTTAATGTGGAGGCAGGATTTATGTGCTAACTTTTCTTTTTCCTTTAGGAGATAGGTCACGTACTTTTGCTGTGAAATAGAGATGCTTTTTGTTGGATGATCTGCTTTAATTCCTAGAATGTGCTTAAATCTCCCAAATTTTTTTGTTTTGAATTTTTGACTAGGCATCTTCCCAATGTTTCATTCTCTTTCCCATCATATCTTGTCATAATTATGTCATCAGTATATACCAAGGAGCCCATTGTCCTTCGATTTGAGTCCTTTATAAATCATGCATAATTTTTTTAACTCTGTTTGTATCTGATGGCAATTATTCTTTTGGCAAATCTTCATAGCCAAACATTTGTGATTAGTTTAGACCACATAATGCTTTCTTCAATTTGCACACTTTATTATCTTTTTGTTTTCCCTTGACGACTGGAGAGATAACGATTGTATCTCTTCCTCCAACTTGGGAGGGACAGAAACTTTCCAGAAACATTTATTAAAAGCATTATCATGAGTGCAGAATATGGATTAACAAAATGAAGTAATTGCAGGTGAAAATGCTGGGAGAGGCCAAGAGCCAACTCTCTGATCAATATCTTGAAAGAAGACAATAGAATCAAAGAACTATATCAAAGAAACTATTTCAACAGCTGCAGGATCAGTTTGATATTTGCTCAAAAATTATATTGGAATTCAAAAAGAAAAACCAAACACATTATTAACTTGTATTGTGCTGTTCACTTTTTAGTGCCAAAAAAGAAAAAAATAAAATAAACATGAGATAGTATAAATCAGAAACAAATTTGTCAGACTAATCCATACATACCAAACACTCTTCTACTTTATCTTATGTTATCATGTACTGTTTTGATTAATTCCATCCTGTTTTCTTTCTTTATTCACTAAAGGTTACTTATTATTTTATTGGTAGGTTCGCATATCCTCGAAGCCTGATGGTCAAGGAGCTAAGGGACTGGCATGGCATCATGCCAACTGTTTCATGGAAGCATCCCCTTCTGTTCAAGTGGAAAAATTGTCTGGATGGGAAAGCCTCCCAGTTTCTGATCAAGCACTTGTTCTTGGACTGGTTAAAAAAGTTTGTCCCACTGCTAAGAGCGGTATGAATTTTGTTTTCTTAATACAGTAGCTTGTTCTCTGATTCTGTGACTTCTAATTTGCTTTTCTTTATTAATATCTATTTCTCACTATGCTTGGTCTGTCAGGAACGGAAACAGAGATAGAAGGAGGGAAAGAGCTTGATCAATTGACTTCAAAAGCTGGTACAAAACGCAGAAGAGACAACAATGGGGATCAGAAGTCTAAAATTCTGAAGGCTGAGCATGGTGTGTCGACAAGCAGGGCTGGATCTAAAGGAATTGTTAGTTCAGCTGAGGAGCAGCCCAAAGTGTCAGACTTGGAAAGCAAACTGGAGTTTCAAGCTAAAGAACTCTGGGCGTTGAAGGATCTGTTGAAAGAACATGTGACAACAGCAGAGTTGCGTGAAATGCTTGAAATAAATGGTCAAGATTCAACAGGATCAGAACTTGATTTGCGAGATCGTTGGTAAGTACTTTTGCACTGTGGACTACCAACTTTTCTAGTCCTTTTATTTTCTGGAAATGATTACAAGTGCTTTGTGGATTTTTATTTCACTATCATGTGTAACAAATTGTCAAATGATGCCACTTGATGTATTGTCACTTCTCTGATGTGCTTGTCTTCCCATACATAACAAATTTGTCAAATGATGCCATTGATAGACATATCTAAGTCTCTCTGTATCGGTTGGATTATTTGATAAAGTTTGATTAGGCAATTATTGATTTGCTGAGAACACCTCAATGGCACCACAGATTGACACAAATTTTGTGGTTCAAATATCTTATTTAGTGCCGATGGAATGATATTCGGACCACTTGCTAGCTGCCCAGTTTGTTCTGGTCCCCTTCGATATTCTGGAGGCGTGTTCCGGTGCCATGGCCACTTATCAGAATGGAGTAAGTGTTCTTATTCTACTTGTGAGCCAGAGCGAATTAAAAGGAAGTGGAAAATCCCAGAAGGAAAAGATAATCAATTTCTTACTAAGGTAGCTCGACCTTCTCTTTGTTTTTGACATGGCCCTATATATTAAATCTACATTGATGAAATCTATTGAGGAACTCGTAACTTGATGTTGGTTTTTTCTGCCGCAGTGGTTTAAATCACAAAAAGGCAAGAAACCTGTTCGAATTGTGCCACCTGCATCCGGTAAAACTTCTGCAAGTGGAGCAGCTAATGGCATGTCTCAGTCATCACAGAATGAAAATTTGGGAGATTTAAGTGTTTCAATTTCTGGAGTAGCTAAGGAATCAATAGTATGATATTCCCCATGCTTCTCTGTGTATTTTCCATGATTACTGATTAACCTGCTCAGCACTCTTTTGGAGTATAATAACTCTCGAACTCCACTTCATTTCATGGGTGACTGTTTGCAGGAAGAATGGAAGAGAAAAATTGAGGAAGCAGGTGGACAGTTCCATTCAAAGATCAAGAAAGGTATGCAACTTTAGGGGGCTGTATTTTATGTTAGATATTTTGTCTGTTGTCTTTGTACATATTTGTTCACTGTGACCAAAAATCATTGGCAGGTGTTAACTGCTTAGTTGTAAGTGGATTGCTTGATATTCAGGATGCTGAAATGAGGAAGGCGAGGTAAATCTACTGCTTAGGTGCTATATTGAGTATGTTTCTTCTTTCAACTTATTGAGTTTAAAATGAATTTGTCTTCCTTAGGAGGATGAAAATATCAATTGTCCGAGAGGACTACCTGGTTGATTGTTTTAAAAGACAGAAGAAGCTTCCATTTGACTTGTACAAAGTTGAAGCTACTGGTGAAGCATCTAGCATGGTCACAGTCAAAGTGAAAGGACGAAGTGCTGTTCATGAAGCTTCTGGTCTACAAGATTCTGGTCACATCCTCGAGGATGGAAAAAGTATCTATAACACGACATTGAGTCTGTCTGACTTGTCAACTGGTGTCAATAGGTGTGTTGTGCTCAACACCTGAAGCTTAACTTAAGCAATCTAGTCCCAACTGGTTTGACTTCTTGCTTTTTACAATCTTTTTCGTTTCAAACAAAAGAAAACAAAAAGAACTAATGACCATAGTTTTATTACGATGATTAGAGTTATTCAAGGAGCACAATCTGATGGGCAAATCTTGTTGGTAGCTAAATTTATAGTCTTTGGCACTGGAAAGTGCAAAGTTTCATCCACCTTGGTCTTATACATTAGAAAAAGAACAAACAGCTGGTGTTGTTATGAATTTATGCTGATCAATTACCTTTAGAACTCTGGACCTCAACACCCCTTATATATCTCGTCTTTGGCCTTATTTTCAAATATTGGTACAAGGTGCACCTCCTTCCTGCCTTTCTTTTGATAAATTTTCTTTTTCATCAAGAAAGATAAAAAAGAAAAAAAAAAAACCCCTCTTTACCATCTTCTTGTCATGTTTTTGTTAATGTGGCTTATGCCAATATAAGAGAGAGCTTTAGGCAACTTTCTATTAGATAGAACTTTTTTTGTAAGCATAGTCATACACTTTTCACTTGGATATAAGATCTGCTTGCCTTTTCCTTCAAGTGGTCATGCAGGAAGCATAACCAGTTATCTGGTCTACAAGATAGATTTTGAAAAGCTAGATTTCACCGCAGAGGAGACTGAAAGAATATGATTGGAAGGTTCGGAAGAGTTTTATATGCATAAGTTACTTGTTGACATGGTGAGTCCAATGCGGAAATATTGGCTATAGAGGATAAAATGACTCCAGGACAATGGTGGAAATTTGTCATATGGTGTCCATATGACATTTCAATAGGTGTTGTGCGCAAGGAAAAAAAAAAAAGTGAACACTCTGTTTCCGTATAACTTCTTTCTAAACTTTTAGTTCCTAATATAAATTATGTCCTGTAAACCTAGCATGCTGAACTCTAGGTGGTATTTCATATTACAGCTAAGTCTTCAATGTATTAAAGAGACTGCTTCCTGAGCATGCTTAACATCCGTTCGCAATATGATTGCCGGAGTAAATCAATCTGATGTATCTTTAACATTGCTATATATATATACATATAATTGCTTTTTGTGTTGCTAGTTTGTTGCCTTGTTCTTTCACTTACACTCT